TTAAAAGTTGGAGGACGCTTTCGTTTGTTTTCAGCCATGATATAATTTCTTAGTAATAATTAATAAAGCTTAGTTAATGACGATTATTCTTTGAATTTACTCCTGGTTGTATCTTATATAATATATCTAAACTATCTATACAACAGGGATCATATTTCAGTGGACTGTATTTTTGATAAGTTGTAATTAAAAAAAAAAGACAATCAACAATTACCTTTTTGTGAATAATATTGTTATAAATTTAATAGCACTTCTAACTTTTATTTGATAAAATGATTTTAATAATTTTATGGGGAAGAATTATATTCATATTATGATAGAAATTGACACATGGTTGCCCCCACTACCCCTGTTTAGGTTTCAGATGGAATTGACCAACTTCCACAGGCACATGGAGGGACCTCCCGCCAAATGTCAATAAATCAGCCTAGCTGTGATACAGAGAAGGATAAGAGGGCTCAGTGGGGAACATCCATAATATATGTACATCAAATAAATACAAGCAGTATCTAAATATATACATATATATTTCTTAAAACCAGTCATCTACTTTTATAATTTCCAGTTTTATCAATAAATAGAGTTTATAGTAAATTAAATGAAATCCTGAGTCCCTTAATATACCTCTCCCCTGAAAAACTTCCCTCCAAAACAAAACGCGGTCTCATTGTAGCAAAATGGAGGAACAAGAAGAGAAAAGTGTTATTTCATTGAGAGTTAATTCCGAACAAAGAGAAGCCATTATACAATTCTTTAATTTTAATAACTGGGATTTAGAAGAGATGAATGAAGATACAATTGAAAATGATAGAAATGAAGAGAAAGGCATGAATTTTGAAAGGACATACCTTATCCCGCAAAATGAAAACTGTGAGGAATGTCAGAATTGTTTATGTAAACCTTGCATAACTGACGAACGCAATAAACAAATGTGGTGGGCATCGGAGCCTGTGCCACCAAACACACGGAACAGTTCTCTTAGAAAAGAAAGGTACAAATTCTTTTGGACTATGCTTTTTCATAGAGGTGGGTTTTTGGATGAGAGATATATAGCGAAGAAAAGAACTGCTTTACTCAATGATCCAAGATTACGAAACGTTGTGTGCCATCGTAGGGATATTTTACCAGAATGCGTTTTAGAACTTGTTAGGTATTGGTTTCCGAATCCAAAAAATAAGCCATACATGGGACATCGTTGGAACTAAAAAATATTTTGAAGATTTCTTTTTTAATAGTGTTACTTTATAATTATGATTTTTTTTGTTTTCATTTCCACTTGATTGTTTTCTGGGTCTAACCCTGCTGACAGCCACAGACACGTGTCACGCTGATAATCTTTGTTATCTCGCCGATGTGATGCTTCACTACAGTGACTAAAACAGCATGACTGACCCACAGTGATAATTGTTAACACTCTCTGTGTTCTAAGCATGGGCTTTGTTTCTAATTTACAACTTGATGAAAGGATAATAAAAAGTATTGAGGATTATTTTCGGAGTATTTTCGTCTTTTCTTTTGAGGTGAGAATATGGCGGCCATTAGCATGCGTCAATAGCGAGTGTGACTAAAATGGGTAGTAAAACCCGGGCCGGGCCGGGAATTTCGAAACTGAAAACCGGGTTTTTGACAATTACGGAATAAATACTTATTCTTTCTTAATGAAATTTACGGACATAATTTATAACAATAAAATTTGCCTTCGCTGAGAGTTTTAACTCAAAATATTGTGTTTTTCAATGATAATCACCGAAAGTTCTTTTCCTGGTGACTAAAATGGGTAGCAAGCCCGGTTTACACTTTTTGATGTTTCATACTTAATTTCGATAACATATTTGCAATTATGTCTCTTGGATCGTTGAAATTGAACTGAAACTACTAAAAACATCTAACTATTGTATTAATATATCCTGATTATTAAAAATATACGCATTTTTTCAATACCCGGGACTGGCCAAAACCGGACACGTTTACCCGGGACGAACCTTTAATTTCCGGAATGCTGACGAAAGGATGTTAGCTATCACTTACTTGACATTGCCCAGCCCAAACCACGCGGAGGTATCCTCATTTGAGCCTAATGTATACCCACCCCCTCCTTTTGAAATATATATAACATCTACATGCATTAAACATTAAAAAAGAATACATAAACCGTTCTTATTGTATAAATTTATACAACACCCCATATTTAAGAAGCACTAGTGAATATTGTTTTGTGATATTCCCATTAAAAACACAAAAAACCCACAAACAATTCATTTCTCATATTTTTGTATGTACTAAAGTATTGAAACATCAGTTGCTACTGATGTTATATATAGGAAATATTAAAATAACTCATCCAATTAAAATAATTTGTTAAATGAATTCACTTTCATCTTGATAGAAATTAAACGATGAACACAAACTCATGCAGAATATTAAATTCAATTACAATTCCCAGTTAATATCTGTATACCAAGACAGCTGTGCAGATATTATCATATTTACTGATAATAACTTTATGAAAATTAATACCCGTGTTCCAAGCCAGCTGTGCTGACATTAAACTGCTTATTAATTTCAAATTAATACCTGAATACCAAGGTAATTGTGCAGAAAAAATTGTCAATGTTATAAAATGTAAATTGACTGTGGTTTGATTTGCGTATGTTTATTCAAATTTTTTATTTTCCTATTTTATTTTCTTATGTATATAGGTAAGTGACTATAAAAAAAATATACCTTCTTTTCTCTGCACCCAGGTTTCTTGCAATAATTCGGAATTTTTCAGTTTGTCCCGGGCAAACGCGTCCGGTTTTGACCTGTCCCGGGTCTATAAATATGGTCAGAATTCTAATAATTGCTATTTAATTTAATAATAATTGTAATATTAAGGTATTTCAAGTTAAGATACAACGATCAAATGCAAATATCTCATACTTTTTGATCGCAATAAGCTTTAAATCACAAAAATGAGTAAACCGGGCCTGCTACCCATTTTAGTCACCAGGAAAAGGACGATCGTTGATAATCATTGAAAAGCACAATATTTTGAATTAAAATTTTCAGCGAAGGCACATTTTATTATTATTAATTATGTCCGTAAATTTCATTAAGAAAGAATAAGTATTTATTCCGTAATTGTCAAAAACACGGTTTTCAATTTCGAAATTCCCGGCCCGGCCCGGGTTTTACTACCCATTTTAGTCACACTCGTCAATAGCGACGGGCATTTCCGGTGTAAATGTAAACATTCTAAAGCTGTCCATCAAACTCCAAAGAAGTTTGAAATTTCGATCGCCTCAGAATTTAAAATGAATATTATAGGCTGTATATATATTTTTTACTCTGTATTGTAAACACCCAAACACACTTGATAGTTTAGTTAGATTGCTCAACAACTTTCGGAAGATGTTTATTGACGGTATAGATATAATTTCAAAAAAATTTCCTGCGAAGTGAAGAGTGGCAAGAAAGTTGAAATTTCCTCCATTTTTCTCATTGGCTGCTATTTATACCCCAGACCCGCACTTTAAAGACAGAGATATTTTATCGGGATTGTAAATGCCAGGTTAGGGAAAACGAGTAACATAAGTAATTGTCATGTTATTCATACATTATGTGATTTTAGTCAAAGACATCTTTGTAAGACAGATTTCATTCCAACATTTCATTCATAAACAAGTAATCCAAAGTGTCCACATTTTGGGGGGGGGGGGGCAGTTATCATATACAAGGTCTTACAAAATGACATCCTTAAAAGAAAAAGGGGATACCGGTAGGGGACATGTATTGCTTATGCAATACTCTCAGAATGCTTGTTGATGTATGAATTATATACAAAATGTTAAAACATAATATCTTTAAACTTTCAGTGTTCACATATTAAACTGAACTTAATTCCTAAAATGAAGAAAGATATTTTTTGTTGGCCATAATTTTCCTCTTTTTTTTCTGGCTCTTTTGTAAGCCTTGCAATGCCTGGGAAAGTCAAGCAACAGATTGGGCCAAATTGGCCCAACTATCCTCAAATTGATGGGAGCATTGTGAAATTTATAAACATGCAGAGCAGAAATATATTGGGCCAATCTAAAATAAATGATGCATGGAACTGTTCCTAATATTCATTGCTGCAGGGACATGTACTAATATAAATTCTGGAGGTGAAACAATTCAGTGAGATATCAATTTAATGCAGTATTTATTTTCTTTAGGTTGATACACAAACAAAATCTCTATTTCCAATTTTTTTTTTAGTTAGGATCATTATTCATTTCAGTAAGGTTTGACTTAGCTAAAAACATGCTACACAGTGTAATATTAATTATTAAAAAACATAATTGTTGAGGACTGATAGTTTGCAAAATAATATTTCACAGTTAATTCAAGTACCGGTACCAAGACATCATTATACGATACATATTAATTGTGAAGGAGGCTTATCATTAAACCCCTGAAAGACCCACACCCCACCTCATTTTATAAAAATTTTTTCCAGACTTTTTCATGTAAAATCACCTAGCCTCATTTAACATGGAATTTTGCAGGGGTTGAAATATACGGTAGCCTGACACCTGGGGCTAGTCATTTTAAGACACGGGCTACCTAATTTAAATGTAACGATAGTCAGTTGGACTAGCAGAACAAAAAAAGTTTTGGATCTTCAGTTTATCAAAGGTTTTCTATGTAGACTGTTTTCTTTTGATTGAGAACTAATTAAATTTGTTCCTGTTACCAAAGTATTTGACACTTTAATTTATTATGTTTTCATTTTGCATGAAAATTGTTGGGCTAGTTAGTTAGAGATTTGGGCTAGTAAATTTTAACTGATCAGTAGCCCCTGGGCTAGTGGGTTTTCCAGAAAAATTTCAACACCTGATTTTCTCCAACCAGTGTATATTGTTAACAGTGTTTAAAATAGATGGTTATTTTTGTTTATTTAATTTTCTGTAATATTTTAATTAGATTTTACATACTAATGAATAAAATGATGTTCCAGATCACCATGTTTTGCATGGAATGTGGGAGAAGCCTCGCTGACTTCGCGAAATTTTGTGGGAATTGCGGAGCTCAAGTTCAACATGTTAAAGGTATGTAATAAAAATAATCAAAAAACACATGGTCACTGAGAAGATTTTAAATACTTAAAGAATGTATTCTGCTGAGATAACTTGCATTTAACTTTTCAAAGTAGTGGTCAAAAATTAATGCATATTTCGATGGATAAAATAAAGGGAATTCTTCAGAAATGGCTGAGACCTCATAATTGGATATTAATTCCTGAAATTTTGTGGATTATTTTTTTTTTAATCTTTCTCCGAAGACAAGGTCAGAAAAGACGAAACTTACATGAAGCTTTATTACGTCTGTAAATTTAAAATTTTCATATCATAATCCCCAGGGGTAGGGGTAGGGTGGGGATACAACAGAGGGTCAAACCTCTACACTGGAATACATAGGAAAAATCTTTAATAATCTTCTTCTCAAGAACAACAAAACCATGATTAGTAATATTTATATGGATGCATCCTCGGGTAGTGTAGATTGAAGTTTGTATAAGTCATGGCCTAGTGGAACTATAATATGTGATCAAAGTTTATTTAAGAAAATACATACATACATATATATATATATATATATATATATATATATATATATATATATATATATATATATATATATATATATATATATATATATTATGCATCTAGAAAAAAAACTGCTGATGAAGAACAGAAGTGTGGTTAATTGCTCAGGTGAGATTGTTGCCCATGGGCCTATTGTTTTTGAAGGAGATGGAAGTCTAGCTGCTATGTTGGGAAAGCTATCATAAGTATTTAAAATACATTTAAATTTACGTGTTATTATTGTTATATTATTGTAATGTTATATTTGTAGATAAAGATTCAGCTACAAGTGGCAGTCGGGCAATAGAGGTTGGATGTCTCTCACCAGGTAATAATTTTAAGCTAATATTTAAGACCAGTACAATTGCAATTTTATTGCAAATTTAAGGATAATACATACATGTATGTGTATGTATCATATATGAGTATAAAAATTTCCATATCTTGGCCAGAATACACTTCTCTTTTGAATTTTACTTTCAAAATTTTGAAATCTAGATGCAAAGAAAAGCCTTGCAATACTGAAAGCAAAATATTTGCCAAAGAAGAAAGAGATAAAAGAAAAGAAAGGGGAGAGGAGCAGTGTGAATGTGAGTGATCTTGTAGTGTAAATACATTTTTTTCAGAATGATTTAAATTTTTTCAACCTTACAAGAAATCACCCATATGTAAAGGTTGCAGGACTATAAGCAGTACATGTATATAGTGAAATGCCGTTCATTTTTTTTATTACAAAGTTGTATTTTCGGGCATGCATGTAAAGAAATGAGTGAATAGTTTTATCATACAACCATGTGCCTTGAAGTGGTGGAATTTTTTGTTTGAATGGAATGGTATGGTTTTTATTTTCGAACATCAATTGTAACATAATGACCCGCCCATTTCTTTAGAAACAAGAGAGATGTATTTGTTGCAATGTTTTCAGGCACCCCACTCTCTGGGACTAGCAACATGAGTTTTTCTGAAATGGAGATTTTTCAGAAATTATATGAGATAGTTAGAGACTCCCCCTTCTGTAAAACTAACATATTGCAACAAAAGTATACGTATATGTATGAATTTATCCTGTTTACCACAACATTTATTGGCCTTTCCGAAGAATTGGGCATGTCCTTATGTGGCATTCAATGTTCAAATGAAATCACAAAACCTTCCATTCCAATGGAAAATTTTACCACTTCATTGTATCATCTTCGCTATTGAAGGGATTCATTGCTGATGTTTGACTGATACATTCTCATATACATGTATATCACTTAGTATATGTTCTCCCTTCAGGATTGGGTTACATGTATATAACACTTGAATCTATAGTGGAAAAGTACATTTTTCAGCCAATTTAATTTCAACGTGTTTCTTTTCCCCTATACTTTCAGCTGGTGCATTGCACCTGGATGAAGGTAGAGGTTCCCCAATCCTATTATTGTTACACTGATTATCCAACTTTGTATAATAATGTAACATTAGCAGAATTTATTACACTCATGATAAAAATGGAATTTGAACTAAATTGGTATAAAGACAAAAAATAGATTACCTGGTACTAGTATTGATGTCGTAAGATCTGCACTATACAAACTTTTATTTAGGAAATACAAATCCAAATTATGGATGGAAAGAAAAAGGCACTTAAACGAGCATTTCCTAGTGAAACTGGTTTAACAGGGACTTTAAAGATGCCAGTAAAACCTGGAGAAAATGCGAAGGACTGGATGAAAAGATTAACTAGCCAATTCAGGGGAAAGATATCCTTTGTCCCTTTTATTATGGGACCAGGGGGTTTACAGGAATTAAGTGAACCTGCAGCATTTAATATAGAAAATCTTTCTGCTTTAAAAACCCAAAGGAAGGCCAAGATATATGCCTTAGCTAAAGGAAAAGGTGAGAAAACCCTATAATTTCAAGTATAATTTACTAAGAATTTGATACTAATTTTCTAATTCAACTAAGGTAAGAGCTATGAAGTACTCTGATCAAAAATTTTTTAAAATGACAAATGTAATGGCTGTTTTAGTAAATACTGAATGCATTTTTTTTTTTTAAAAAAATGGATGCTCTCCTCATATATTTTTTATGAAATGTATGCATTATCCATATTTTATATATGAAGACATAGTGTTGACATAATTAATTCAGTGTAATACGAATGCATTATTTCACCTTTATAAGACGACAAGAAATTCTGGAGAATTTTAATAATTGCACACAGGTCAAAAGCTGAAAGTGTATTTCAGACAACTGAGAAGCAATTTTTTTTAAAAAAATTATTTTTCCTCTTGTTTTCAGCTCTACTGGTCAGAGACCAGAGGAGCTTATCTGATAGTAAGGTGTACGTTGTGCATTTTTCAAAATGCTACTCCTCCTACAGCTTTGGTCTGATTTTAATATAACGTGGCACACAAGTAGACTACACAGGGATACCTAATTGTCTTTATCATTTTATAATTTTGCTGAATGATGTTGCCATGGTTACTGAAATCCAAATTTCTGTAAAATTCCTTTAAAAGGCTACTCCTTCTTCAGTTTTAGTCTAGACTGCAATAAATCTTACTAGAGAAGAGACTAAAGCAAGGATTGTTATTCTATTATTGCTGTTGCAAAGTTTGAAGTACAAGTGCCACTTTTCTATCCTTTGTTAAAAGTACAAACCATTAAAGTTGCATTATCGACAGTGCCTTATTTTTATTATTGTTATTTGAACACGTCATATATGAAATTTATGATTAAAGAAGAAAGATTATATTATTGAGAAATAGAGCCACAATAGAGTGGTGATTTGTAATTGCTTAAAGCTTGGTTATCGATAAATATGATATGGAAAAATATTGCTTCTCAGTTGGCTATGTTATTTTATTGTTATATATTTCAGTTTGAATTGTTCGAAATTTTTAATTTGAAGTTCTGAGCTCACCTGATCTGAAGACAATTGAGTTTTTTTTATCAAAATTTGTCAATTGCCTGTTCTTGTTATTATTGTCATTGTAAACTTTTTCATATTTCCATCTTCAATCCACCAGGCCAATTTCAACCAAACTTGCTATAAAATTTAATGGCATCTTTCAAAGAATTTCTGTTCAAACCTTACTGGGCCAGAAAATTTATAACATATGTGTTAGTTATATTGCATTGTGCAGATTCAAACTGGTTAAAATCATAACCCCCACCCTGGGGTAGGCTAGGGCCACAGTATGCATGAAAGTTGTTCATGATAATATGTAGGAAAAAATCTTAACAAGAACCCCTGGGAGTAGAGTAGGGATACAATGGACAATCACATTTTTACATAGAAAAACATCTTTCAAAATCTTCCTCTGAAGAGCAGTGAAGCTAGTCATTCTGAAATTCAAGTATCCTCAGGTAGTGTTGATTCATTCTTTTTTCAAATCATGACCCCTGGGGATAGGGGGGATCAAAATGGATGATCAGTTTTACTTAAGAATACATTGAAAAAAATCTTACTCTCAGGAAAAATTAAGCCTTGATTAGTCATATTGATTTGAAAGTATCCTCAGGTAGTGTAAATACAAGTCTGTTCAAATCATGATCCCCGTGTATAAGGGTGAGGACACAGTAGGTGATCCAAGTTTTACATAATAGAGGTACAGTAAACCATGCTCAGAGTGAATGGAGGCTTACAATCTTTTTTATTCCAATGGGTTTAAAAATGTATGATGATCGAACTTAATGGATGTAATGAATAAATTGTTTATTCCAAAGCAATATTGTCTGTCTCTGTAATTTCTTTAATATTAACATGTTTTACAGTATATGCGTAAGAAGTCCTTAAAAAAATTATTTTCAAGAACAGCAAATGCATGATTAAACTTATGAATATTGAAGCATCTTCAGGAAGTTTTGATTAAAGTTTGTTCAAATCTTGACAGCTGGGGGTAGATGGGGTAGATTTAGGCCACAAAGGGGGATTAAAGTTTTCATAAGAATGTACAGGAACTTTTTTGAGAATGTTTTCTCAAGAACTGCAAAGCTGTCATAACTTATGGAAACATCCTCAGATAATGTTATTTCATCCCTCTTTTTTTTCAAATTATGAACTCCATTTGGTAGAGTAGAGCCACAATAGTAAACAAAATTTTAAATAGGTTTATACACATGCAGTGCTTTCAGAAAGATTAGAATCAGCTGGTACTTGTACAAAAATAGGAGGTGCCTTATAAGCAATTTCAATTACGTATGTTAACAAATTTATTTTGAAAGGCCTGCACATGATACTGGAAACAATTTCCTGATGTAGAAAAGCAAGGCTATGACTCGCATGAGTTTTCTAGCCCATGGGCCACTTTCTGAAAGTGTTTGACTTGTTCATCAATAATAATGTGAAAAAGTTCTAAATTTTTATCAGTGTAGAAGCCATTCATGAATTTTTGAATACTGTAGAAGTACATTTTTCTGTTTGGTATCAATGTACACTATGTACGGTGTCACAAATTTTCTGCGGAAATTTGCTCCAGCATACTTAAAGTACATATAAGGTTTATAGAGGCACTCTAAGAAATCTATTTCCGTTTTTTAAAATTTTATATCCATGGATTGAATAGAAATTGTGACTACGTGGAATCATGACATTGTGAAAAAAGTATGTTAACAGTAATTAAATGATTATGCATCCTGTATATCTTCATTATAAAATCTTATTTTCTGTCATTGTGATATTCTCAGTCTAAAAAAAAATATTCTTTTATCATTTATGGTAATATTATGCACCAGTGTTCTGAATGCAGAAAATAAAATGGAATAAGGTTGGTTGTTGTTGAATAATGAATTCTTTTTCTATCTGTAGGACCAGGAACTACCAAAGATTTCTTCACCGAGAACAGTTAGTATCTATATACATTAATTTATAATGTACTCTTAAAGAAAACTGAAGTGAAAAAAACATGGGTAACATAATATGCACTAATTATTGAATTACTTGACTAGAAATTGTGAATAATGGTCACAAGATCACCTTGGTCACTGTGCCCAGATTTACTCAACCATGAAATGTATGACATCATATAGGGAAAGTGTTCAAGCTAAAAACATACATGATGATGGCAACATGCAATTCGCAAAGGATTGTTGCTCCAGAAGTAACTGTGAAAAAAATTCATTTGGATTAACTTGCCAAGTCTGAATTTTCTCTTCACCAGGCGTAGTCATTTGAGCTAGCAGTGCGATAATATACATAGATATTTATGAAAAAGGATTGTTGTGTTGGAGATTTTGCTAATTAAATAAGACTTTTATCATTAATAGCTATAATATGAGTAATAGACAATGTATATACCCATAATGAGCATTTTTTATGTGGTGGGGGTGTACTGAGTTGACCATCTCTTTCTGTCTCTCTGCTTGTATACATTTTGTTCAAAACCATTATTCCAGATCTTTAACTTTTACATTTCGAAGCATTTATGAAATAATCATTTGATCAGCTCTGACTTGTTACTTTTTAGTTTATGCAATATGATATCTATATGTTTATCAATAATTTCAGATATCTGATGAAACAGACAGTGAGGTATGAAAGCATAACATAAATACTAACCAGTTAAACTTTGTGTGTATGAAGACCGATAAATTAAGAACTTAGCATAAAAAGCAAAGATTTGATATGTAATATACATGTATTTCACTTTCAGTCCTCAGAAATGGAGTTTGTAATGGAAAAGTCAAAAAAAGAATTACCACAAATTGTGAGTATATTAAAATTCAGCATAAAAAAAGTTTATTTAAATGAAGTGCTAGTACAGCTAAGTTTGTTATCTTGGACTTCTGTCCAATCTTCAAGATATAATCAATTATTAAGATTTTGAGGTTAAAATACCTGAAGAAGAAATAATTTGGACTATCAGGTTACTTAGGATATCAGTTGTTCTTGATATATCAATTTTTGAGATTTCAAAGTTCAACTGTATATGTTGGATTGGTGCACCATATTTAAAAATTTACCCGTGTGATGCTAACCTTAACTTGTATGCAATATTAGTTTATCTAAATACAGTGTGTATTCAATTAAATTTGAATAAGAACATGTGACAAACTGTCAAAATTGTTGGTAAGTACTAAAACTAAAAATTTCCCTGTAAAGTAATAAAATTTGAATTCTTATGAAACAAGTTATTGAGGGCATATACTTTGCATCACTATAAATGAAAGTGTTAGCTTGAGGACTAGATTGCATAAGAACCCTATTAATTAAGATAAAAAAAATTTTGTTACATTCTTTGACGCTGTAGTAACTAGTCTTTTAATTTTCAAGGATATAAATATTTTTTAAGAATATTGTACAATGGATAAAGAGAATACCCTTTTCCATATCACATACGGTATCAGCCCCAGACACCAACATCAGTTAGAAAGTTGAAGACCCGAGGCTGATGTTGGTCGAGGGCTGATACAGGATGTGATATGAAAAAGGGTATGCTTTATGATGATTATCACATACTTAGTATGTGATATGTGCCTAACGGCCTCAGGCAAACAGTTTGGTTCTTGGGTCCGTCAAAACATATATTGCCCTTGAACCCAGCAATAAATGTGTATTGTTATACCCTTGTAAATATTGTTCTATATATATACCCCAGAAAAATCCAAGAAGAGTAAATGTTTTTGCATTGGTCTATCAATTTTATTGTTGATTGGTCTGTCAGTCTAACATGAGAATTGTTAGAGTGCAGCGTTACTGCAGGTGACTGTTGTTCAATATTGGCAACACGAAAATAGCTGAAGTTTAGAGCTGCATGAGTTGTCCTATGCTTTTTGAAAGATTGCTTCAGGAAATAATTATGTTTTGTGATAAATAATTTTTAGATAAAAAGCTGAAGGATTAATTATTCTCATTACTTGTCATTTATACTGGATGTAGAATGATTTTCATAGTTCATTCATAGTTAGCAGTTAATTAACTAATACTATGTATGTGTGATCAATGATTAAAATTTAGTGTTTTAAGTCATATCGTTGGAAGAAATAAAGTAGCCTCTTGCATTTGGAAATGTATGTTCTAAGAGATGTCCATTTAATTGAGCATGGTAATGTTTTTACTATGTACATGTTTTGTTGTCTGCAGTTTTCCAAGAAAATGAGGAAGAGGAAAAAGTCTGCAGCTAAGCCGGTGGAAGAATATTCAGTACATGTTAGTACATATAAATTTCTCCTTATATATAAATTTGCCATATCACACTTGTAAACAATCTTTAACATCATTTCAAATAAAAGTTGTGTTAAAAAGAAAAAAAAATATAACCCAACCTGTCTCTTGTATGCTCCTATAGAAAATGGAAAATGTTTAATATACATGTTGACACAGTACATTTTACATTGGGTACTAAGGGAAGGGATTAACAAGTATTTTGACTACTACTTAGCAATTTTGTTCTTAGTTTTTTAACAATTTGCAGGTGTTTAATAACTTGACTCAAACATTTTTTTTTAAAGATTTCTGATGATTCTGACCTACCAGACATCCCCTCAGATATTACAGATCCAAAGTGTGACTCTGTATGTAAACAAAAATAATTACATTCATTATTAATTTACAGTGGTATTTAAATAATAAGAGTAAGTAAGTAGATGTAAGCAGTCTGTTACGTCTAAATATTTTCTCTTTTTCATAAGGTTTCAGAGGGAATTATTTACAGGATCATGATAAGTCTTAACAATTCACGTTTTATACACAAAGGCAGTTTTCTTACCTGTAATTTTTGGGGGCTTCAAATTGTTATATATCAGCATATTTTTAGCTCACCTCGATGAAGTCAAGATGAGCTTATGCTATACCCCCAGCATTGGCGTCGGTGTCCCGGTTAAAGTTTTAGGAGCAAGTCCATTCCCAAATAACTATAAGCCCTACCTGGACCAAACTTGCATTGATGATGCATCTGGGGATGGACACTACCACACTTGCTTCAGATGCTGGATCTGGCCTAGATTTTCCAGTTGAGTGACCAGGTTACAGTTTTTGGAGCAGGTCCATACCCAAGTAACTATTGGCCCTATCTGGACCAAACTTGCATGGATGATGGATGTAGGGATGGACACTACCACACTTGCTTCGGATGCTGGATCTGACCTAGATTTTCCAGATGAGTGACCAGGTTGAAGTTTTTGGAACAGGTCCATTCCCAAGTAACTAGAAGCTCTACCTTGAACAAACTTTCATGGATTATGCATCTAGGGATGGACACTACCACACTTGCATCAGATGCTGGATTCGACCTAGATTTTCCACATGAGTGAATTTTAGCCATATTTTAACCAAATTAGCATGGATGATGTAGCTAGGGATGGTCACTTCCAGACTTGCTTTGGATTCTGAATCTGACCTACATTTTCCAGATGAGTGACCAGGATAATTTTTTTGGAGTAGCTATATAACATTTTGGCTTGTTATGATTAATCTTGCATAGATGGTGCATCTAAGGATGAAAACTTCCAGACTTACTTTGGATGTTGGAACTGACCAAAATTTTCTTGACTAGTAAACAGGATAAACGTTTTTTGAACAGGTCTATTTCCAAGTAACTATAAGTCATACTTAAACCAAACTTGCATGGACATTGATGTTGGGATGTACACTAAATAAAAAAAAATATGATGTGAAAGTTGCCTTACTTAAAGATAACATTCGTCGAGGTGAGCTTTGTAATCCTTGATTACCTATGTTTAAACTTAATTATTTCCTTGAATTTTTCATGTAATATTCTGATAATTAACTTGTTGTGATCAAATTTTTTTCATTGGTTGTTGTCGACATATTTGTCATAAAATTTATACAATTTCATCTTCTTCTCCAGAACAAAACTTGCCACAGAGTAATCTTGGGTAAAGGGGATTCAAGTTTGTTCAAACTTAAATTATCCAAGGGGAGATATTTAAGAAAAGTAATAGAATCATGTGGGGTCATTTGACCATCTTCTACTCGAGAACCACAGGGCCAGAAAAGACAAAACTTTTGTGAAAGATTTCTGACATCAAGTTTGTTGAAATCATGGCCTTTGAGGGAAGGAGGGGTCATAGTTTGATGTCAAATTTAATGCAGTTTTAGTTTTAGTATTTGCTATATGAATATTGTTGCTAACCTTATGTGCTTTGAATTACTGGGGTACATCTCAGAATAAAACCTTATGAATTACTTTCTAAATATGATTTTAACTGTTTAAGAATTTGAAAACATCCACTCCAAAGAAAAGTGCATGGTCTACTGCTACGGTTACCACTGAAGATAAAATACAGGTATGTCTAATGTCATGGAAAGTCCATTATATTGATGTGAATGTAACCATCAGAAAATACTGATTTTATTTTAATTGTTGTAAAAACAAAAAATGAATGACTACAATGTACTTTATAATGTAATTTAGAATTTCAAATCCATTCCAAAAGAAAGTGCATGTTCTACTGCTACAGTTACAAATGAAGATAAAATACAGGTATGTCTAATGTCAGGGAAAGTCCATTATATTGAAGTGCATTGTATTGAAGTGAATGTTTCCATCAGAAAAAAAATTGTTTTTATTTTAATTGTTGTAAAAAAAAATTTAAATGACTACAGTGTATTCTATAATGTAATTTAGAATTTCAAATCCATTCCAAAAGAAAGTGCATGTTCTACTGCTACGGTTACCAATGACGATAAAATACAGGTATGTCTAATGTCAGGGAAAGTCCATTGTATTGATGTAAATGTTTCCATCAGAAAATAATGATTATTTTTTTATTGTTGTTAATTGTTGTAAAAAGAGTTACCAATGACCAACTACGGTTACCAATGAAGATTTTTACTACCCCATTTTTACTAGCCCAAGGGGCTACCTTCGTGCAAAGAACCCCCAAAAATTGTAGCCCCAGGTGTCCGGCGATGCTAATTGCACACCCCTGTTGCATGTAAAGTCCATTATATTCATGTGAATGTTTCCATCAGAAAATAATGATTATTTTTTAATTGTTGTAAAAAAAAAATTGAATGACTACAATGTACTTTATAATGTAATTTAGAATTTCAAATCCATTCCAAAAGAAAGTGCATGTTCTACTGCTATGGTTACCAATGACGATAAAATACAGGTATGTCTAATGTCAGGGAAAGTCCATTGTATTGATGTAAATGTTTCCATCAGAAAATACTTTTTCTATTTTAATTGTTGTTAAACAATTTTTTTTATTAATATAGACTACAATGTATTTTGTAATTCAGAATTTCAAATCAATTCTAAGGAAAAAATATTTGTACTCCTGCTGATGAAATACAGATATGTGATTCTTTAAAAAAAATTGTGTAACATAGTAGTGTTTATAAAAAAAGTATGTTTTCAGTATTTAATATTTTTCAGTTGATGGAGTCACCTAATTCATATTTTGAGCAAGGGCAGTCTCATTTGTCACCTGAGAAAGAGGTAAATATATTTATCATACTTGTATAAATACATTGAGTACAAATCGGTTAACATTACTTTTTTAAGGACTCTGAAGAAGTTGTAAATATGCTGTCTTAAGAGTTCTCTATTGACCATAGTGTTTGTTTATACATAAGAATAGCTAGGAAATTTTGGCAGTTACCCCTGCCAAAAATGATGAAAAGTTCCCTATGCCCCCTCCTGCCTCTCTTACAGTGTCCCGTTTTGCCCCCCCCCCCCCCAGGGTCCACACATGCTGTTCTTTTTACCTTAAGCAGGGAACACAGTTTCTCTGAATTAGCTTGTTTTCCCCTTAATTTGGGGAAAAAATTTTCTGAATTACTTGTCATTTAAAACAACTTTTTCCCTTACAGATCATAGACCAGGAGATAAAAAAGCTTTTTGATGTAAGTTTTTGGTTCAACGATGATTGTTAGTAAATAAATTGTGAAAAGGAAGACCAAAGAAAATGTCCTTGTGCTACAATACTGTAAACCATGTGCAGTAGTACAGCAGATTTCTTGACTATATAACCATTTTACATTTATGAATATTTTGATGCCTTTTCAATATTCCATTTAATATATATATATAAAAGTAATGGTTCAACAGAAATCTTGGGATAGCTTATTTTATGAAAACAGTTGTGTTATTGTGGCTAGTTTTATTCCATGTACATGTTTCTCTTGATTTCACATTTTATAAATAAAAAATGTATTATTTCCAATTGTGAAAATTTCTTTCCAGCTCATGGACATGAAGATAAAGAGAAAAAAGGTTAGTAAATGCCTGGAATATTTCTTCATTTCTTATCCTATGATTGTGGGTATATAGTTGTAACAAATCCACAGTGACTGAACCTATTGTGGCAACAGTTTAATGCATTGCCTCAATAACAGTTACTTAAATCTCCTTTTTCTAAAAAGGACATATACAATTTTGAAGTCTTAAATAATGATAGATATGCTTTACCAAGAGCTTAAACCATTATGTGCAGAAAAGCCATAGCACAGACTTTAGTGAATATTTCACAATATTAGCTGTTGTATTTGTAAGCATTGTTGTTAATTAAATATAAATGGACTTTTTTAAAGATGGCTGATGATGCTGTCATTTCCTATCCTCGTAAAGAGGATCGGAAATTCATTACCATTATTTATGAAGATCATGGAGGGATGTCTTTTACAAGACCGTTTTGTAAAGACGACACTCTGCAGGTAAAAATATTATACATTTTTCAACTCGCCTGACCTGAGGGGTCAAGCAAGCTTTTCTGATTTTGAAGTGTCTAGCATATGTCTGTCTCTCTGTTGTGTGTTTCTGTGAACTTTCCACCTTTTCACCTTCTCCAGAACCATTCGGCTAATATCAACAAAACTTGCCACAAAGCATCTTTGGGGGAAGGGGACTCAGGTTTATTTATATGAATCACCACACCTTCTATTAAAATTTTTAGCTCACCTGAGCTGAAAGCTCAAGTGACCTTTTTTGATCACCTGTTGTGCGTCGTCTGTCTGCCTGTTTGTTCATCTGTTAAATTTTAACATTTTCAACTTCTCAAGAACCACTGGGCCAATTTTAATCAAAATTGGTACAAAATATCCTTTGGGTAGGAGAGTTTAAATTGTTAATATGAAGGGTCTAGCTCCTTTACAAGGGAAGATAATCAAGAAAAGGCAAAAATAGGGTGGGGTCATTAAAAAATCTTCTCAAGAACCACTGGGACAGAAAAGCTGAAACTTATATGGAAGCATCCTGGGGTAGTGCAGATTTTAAATTCTTCAAATCATGACCCCAGGGTAGGGTGGGGCCATGTTAGGGAATCCAACTTTTACATTGAAATATATAGAAAAAACTTCAAAGATTTTCGTTTCAAGAACCACTGAGCCAGAAAAGCTGAAACTAATGTGGAAGCTTTCTTGGGTAGTTTAGGTTCTAATCATGACCCCTGGGGGTTGGGTGGGGCCACAACAGATATTATAAGAGGGAAAATTTGGTGAACAACAGCAAGGCTGAAGTTACTCAGATGAGCACTGTGGCCCATGGACCTCTTGTTAAAAATTATTATTTAATGGCATACTTTAAAAATGTTTTTTCAATAGCCATTGGGCCAAAAAGATAATACATAAAGGCTTTGTTAAAAGTGAAAAATGAGTTTGTTCCAACCATGCTACATGTAGAGTTACAATGGGCAAACAACTTTTAATATAGATACATATAGGAACAAATTTTTGTAAAGTCATCCTTCTTAAGAACCTTATGGCTGGAAGAGTTGAAACTTGCATGAAAGATTAATTATACAGTCTAGACTTTAGTTTGTTCATATCCTGACCTCAGGGGTTTAAGAGGGGGCTATGATACATGATCAGTTTTATTTAAAAATATATTGTAAAAAATCTGAAGAAAAAGAGCTAAGACGTAATTATTCATATTAATAATAGAAGCATCTTCTGGTTGTGTAGGTTGAAGTTTCTTCAAAATATGAATGTGAAAGGATGAAAGTTTTACACCGGAATGGATAGGGGAAAAGTTGCGAATGTAGAACAGCATGACCATTGTTACAAATTTAGGAGAAAATTAGAAAGAAATTTTGAAAACCTCATTTAGATTTTCATAATCCTTTTCACTCCAGGGACCTTTGTAAGGTCCCAAATGGACAGATGAATTCAATGTCTAAAAACTGTTATCTCTTTGCACATTAATTCATAAGAAAAAAATGCATAAAGGAAACAAGGAGACCTACTACCAAGGTCATGAAATTCAAAACAAAATAATTTCCTTTATTTCTGTGCAAAGTGAAGAGCTGTAAGCAAAGTGCCTCCTAAATTGACTTGTTGGGCAAACCTAAACTGTGACTTGTTGGGCAAACTTTTTTTGGATATTTGACATTGTGGTAAAGATGAAGATTTTCAAATGGGTTTCTCAGCAGTCAATATTTTGATGTTTCCACTGAGTTACGAATTACTTTTTTGGATACTTTCAGAGTATTTTCACATATATATGCAGGGAAGTAGAGGCAGAAATCCTGCCACCTGTCTTCCACCTGGAGTGTGTGAATCCACTGAAATGTCTGGTTGAAGGTTGCAAACATTGTTATGAGCTGGAAGCCAGCCACCATGAGTTTATTTCTTCACTGCCAGATGTATTAATTCTTAAAGAAGGGGCAAGTATAATAATGGTTTTTATCATTTTGAAGGAAATTTGCAACATTTATAGAACAAAAAAAAATTAATCAATAGTTTCTCAGGCACCGCTGCATCAGGTCAAACACTGCCGCATTGATAAAATTTATTGACATATTGAAAAGGTATGAGTAATATACTCTGACATAATTTTTCCAAGTTGTAAAAGAAAACTGAGTTACTCCCCTTTTCATAAATGCTAATAGATAGACGCTTTTATTAGATAAACCAATACATTTCTTGTTAATACAGTATTTTACGAATTAACTTTGTTTGAAATAATATTATTTAAAGCTATAATTAATGAGAGAACAATAAAAGTAAGAATCAGTTGATATCATTTTTTTAAAGGTATAACACCTGCTTTAAAAAAGAAAAAAAAGAAAAGAACCTGTCTGCTGCATTGAATTTTGAAAATTTTGGCCTGAGAAACTATTAATTAATTTTTTATGGCCTTACTGGTACTTCTTACTGACTGTATAAATTATCAGGTAAACACTTGCAGTCATACTTTTTCATTGAAAATTCAATGCAAGTTATAATAATTTTCAAGACACTTTAAGACCTTCCTTTTCTTAAATTACATGTATAACTGTACATGTACAGTAGAATACTATAAATAAGGTCAAATGTAACACATCAGAATGCTAGATTTAAAGTAACACTGAAATTTTTAAAAGCTTAAATTAATGTTTAAATGTTTTATTAAAAAGTACCTATTACATATGTATGTTGTTTTTCTAGTTTAACAATAATATTAATACACATAATGGTACATGTTATGTTTCAGAACTTCTTAATGGATGATACAATGACCAATTTTGGAAATGTGCTCATGTAAGGGACAGGACCTTCACCACCAAAACGTGTATATCTACACTAGCTCTAATTATCTCTACACATGTAGTGTGTTGTTCATCATTAAATACATATTGTTTCCATAACTTTTATGATACATGTATTATGTACATTGAAATGAATATTATCATGTACATTAAAAGAATTGCTCAAAGAAAATTTAAAAGGAAATCATTTTAAGGTAATTTGAATGTTAGCCACAGATCAGTTTCTCTTATTTCTTTTTTATTTGTCACAATGGGTTATCATAATTTCTTCTCCTTTAATTGTTTTTACGTCTCTTCTTACTGGTATTTATATGCAATAGTTTTCCTTACATGAAAGAAGTCCTCAGTTGTTTTGTTTTATATTTTGATTTAAATGAATAAATGTGTTAATTTTATGAAGTTTTGTTTAGTTTTTACCTTACCTGAGCTTTTTCTGATCGCATTTTGTCTGCCGTCCATCTGTAAACTTTTCACATTTTCGACTTCTTCTCCAGTAACAAAGGGCCAATTTCATCCAAACATGTAACAAAGCGTCCTTGGGTGTAGGGGATTCAAGTTTGATCAAATGAAGTGCTACGCCCTCTTTCAATAGGAAATAATTAAGAAATAGTAAAAATCTGGTGATGTCTTTCAAAAATCTTCCTCTCAAGAACCAATGGACCAAAAAAATTGAAATTTATTTTGAATCTTCTTTACATAGTGAAGATTTAACTTTCCTCAAGTCATGAGGCCAGGAGTAAGGGTGGGCCCACAATGGTGGATCAAAGTTTTACATACTAGGAATATATTGGAAAAAATTGCAAGAACTGCAAAGTCATGATTGGTCATATTTATATGGAAGCATCCTCAGGCAGTGTAGAATCAAGTTTGTTCAAAATATGACCCATGGAGTTGGGTGGGACTTCAATGTACAATAAAAGTATATCATAGGTATACACAGGAAAATTATTTGAAAATTTCCTTCTCAAGAAAAGCAAAGGCATGATTGGTCATATTTTTATGGAAGCATCATTAGGTTGTGTAGACTCATGTTTGTTCAAATCATAACATCTGCACATAGGGTGGGGCCGCAACAGGGGATCAAAGTTAAACAAAGGAATATAAGGGATATCGATAAAAATTTTATTATGGATTAGTCATTAATTCTGAAGCATTCTCATGTGGTGAAGATTCAAATCATGTCCTTGGGGTAGGGCAAGGCCTCGATAGATTGAAGATCAAATGTTGGTATCACTTATATATTTAAACTTTTTAATAGTAAACCAGTTTTCCAAATGCAGATATCTAATTGCATTGAATTAAAATATAGATGTTAATGAAGAAAGCCTGAATAAAGGCAACATTTTTAGTGAAAGATACATTGTATATGTTTATTTAAAACAACCTGTAAAAATTGCTTTGCAAATTTCTACAACCTTGTTCTTAATCGCATGGAGTATCCTATTACGGTAGTACAAAACAGGTAGAAAATTTTTCCTCAAATTCATCTCTGAAACTATATTCAAATTTGAAAAGAAGTGAACAGAATGATAAGACTTAACTACTGGCCCCAAGACAATAAACTGAGAATAGACTTAGTCAAAACTTCAAACCTAATAACTTAAATTTTGAAATAATTTTGATAATGAAACAAAATTTTCATCATGTATTTGAATTTAAATGTTGTATAAAATTGCGGAATTTTAAGCAAATAGATTAGATAAAACTCAAGATGTTAAAATTCAAAATTTTGACTTAAGTCTATTCTCAGTTTATGGTCTTGGGGCCTGGTTATATACATTTTTGAGACCAAAATAATTTCAATGACTAAGAAAATTAAAAATCAAATTCAAGATTTTAATGTTTGAAATCAAAAGTTACACTTTTTAAATAACAGATAATGATGCATGTAAATGACAAAAAATATATGCTAAATGTAGAATCTGAAATGTTCCATTAAATCAGGGACCTATAATAGGGCCCTGATAAGTATATGCATTCATTTTTTGTTCTTTTTTTTTTTTTTACACAATAGATAAGTACATGTCATAGCTAGTTTACCATATTTCTGACAAAGATAATTAATAGTAAATATTGGAGTGTTTTTAATATATTTTTTCTGGTCTGTTTTAGAAGAAATGTGTTCTTCTAAACACAGTTTAGAGTTATAGTTCATAATGCGCTCTTTTATGAAAAAGTCCGAAAATGTACACAAACTTGGACAACAAGAATGTAAAGAAAATGCTGAGTGTGGTGTTTTGTTCTACCTTAATACAGGTGAAAGTATTTACACTTCCCTGAAAATGAGCCCCTTGATTTGTCCAGTGTTAACATTGGTGTTTCCACTACCCGCTGTTGAAAACTTCACCATAAGAGTGGTGTTTTCTTCCAAGGCAAATGAAGTACTATGCAGGCCTCCAACTCCATACCTTGTTGGGCCACCATTGACTCTCAACACTGCAGTGTACACGGTGTCTCTTAACAGGAGCACTGGTGTGGGGAACAGAATGGGAATACTGAGTTCATCAGAGCATTGTTCTTTTACCTGTGTTTTACGCAGAAGTGTTTGACTGTTTTCGGTGTATAGCAAAACAGAAAGAGGCCACATGCCCCTGCTCTACCATACACAAGAAGACCCTTCAGTTTTATGTTGTCAAGGTTAATACAGAAGGAAATTCTGTCACCATCTAGAGTGTTGTCAACTAACCATGTGCTCTCATTACTGATATTCCTAAAGCGGTTGACAACAATGTCATTGCATGTTATACTATGTCTCTTTTTAGTGTATTGAAGAGGGAGTGTGTCATCTAATGTGGATAGCTGACGCATAACGAGAAGAGAAAAACCATCTTCAAGTATACACTTTGTCACTATGTGGTCAAGGAAAAAATCCATCGACATCCTTCCAAACCTAACATGCGGAATCACTTCCTTCCATAAAGTGACCTTTCTCTCTTCCTCTCCAACCATGCTTATCCACAGGTTGATGTTCTGGAAAAGACACAGAGACTCTCTCTTCTGATAATGTCAATCAATAGACCAAGGGGCAATTCGAAAAAATCCTCTGCAGCTGAGCCAAAAAGATCTTCCATGTGGATGTCTACAAACTGAAGGCATTGTGTCTTTGTGGTAGCAATTTGGTTGTTGTGTGCTATCAAAAGAATCTTCAGTGAATTCTTGATGGATATGCTTTCCTGCATGAAGTTTATACACCTCTGAATCAAGTCTTCCACACCATAATAATCTGCAACTTGGTAAATTTCCTCTATATTTTCAATCGAAGTATCAATATGAGAAGTGTACAAAAATTCTATCATGGATTTTGTCACATCTGTAGAGTGTATATCACAAGTGATGACATTGGATGCTGACTCCCAATTCTCACTGAGTCGTGCCTTAAACCAATCTGAACCCAAAACCAACACTATTCTATGGGCATGAATTGCCCCATCTCTAAGTTTGATATTTACATCACAGTGAAGCTGGTCCTTAAAAGATTCAATCAGCTTATTACCCAGTGCAGCCATCAAGGTTTTCTGAAAAAGGAAAATTTTTTTTTTAAAAAATGATCTTATGTGGTTAAAGGTTGAATGTTATATATTACATATTTTCCACTATTCTGTTTAAAAAGTTACATTTGGAAATCTTGTACCTATTTATTCTTTCTCTTTAGTAATGGGCAATATGTACTAGAGGTGTTTATGTTGCCTTCAGAATGACACTTAGGGATTACTCTGCATACGATATATCCGTCTGTTATACTTTTAATCTTGGATACTGATAGAGGGAGCAATTTCATTTTTTTACCCAATACCTGTACATTTTATTGCTTGAAACATGCTTGTGTAAATGACCTGGATTAACGACCTTATGACCTGTGACCTACTTTTTAGAATACAGTTATTGTAAAAATTGTCTAAACAGGACATTATTCTGAAATCCTACCTGCCTAATATGAGGTAAAATTCATTTCCTTTCAGTAAATTATGTTTAATTCCTAATGCTTTTTAATCCAGCCACTAGTTCCATTAAATCAGTGCTGTTCAGAAAGGGAAGTTTCACTGTGTATATTTACCTGAAAGAAGCAAGTTTGTGTTATAATTAGCATGTATACAGATTGCCATGAAACATTTGGAAAAGTTAATCCACCATCACCATCTTGTTCTTAAATCTATCTTTCAATAATACTTTAATCTTTTATTTTTCCATTGTTTCAGATTTCGAAAAATCATATGCTTTGAAAACTTCTGAATCAATTATATGTTTATGACCTCAGGATACTTTACTTTCTTCAAACATTATTACTACACAAACTGAAAATCATTCCGTTTGTTGTACGAAAATTAAGCTGAATTGGTATATACTGATTTGTTCAGAATTCAAGACAAATTATAAAGGATGACAACTTTTTATGTCTGTAATTTCAATTTTGTTATTCACTTTAGCTTTGAGAGTAAGGAATCGCTCATCTATTTGTCATGTTATGATAAATAGATTATTTACTCTACAGCAGTCTTCCTAGCTGTGGTTGTTATTGTTTGTTTTCTTTTTTTGAATTATATTGCGAGTATTCAAATGAAAAAAAAAATCATCCTTAAGATTTATTTCAGTATTTTAATGATGCTAAAGCAGGAGACACTTGTATTACATGTACTTGGAAAATTCAATCTTGTATTCAACAAACCTAAGGCACTTGAGATATTAGACACACAGAATTACTCTATGCCGAAGTTACAACATTAAAGCAGATTACTTTACAATTAGTTTAATTAAATAAAACACACACTAAAAAAATGCACACAAACTTAAAGTACTGTAAAAATGTAAACAATTGCAATTTAATTTTACCCGGTATACATTTTATGTGCGGCATGACCTTTTATAGTGGATGAAACTACAAGTAAATTAGAAATCAACAACTACAGAGGATTACTACAGAGTTATGTCCCTTAACCCCCTTCCCCGCAGTCACGCATTTTAACGCATATACCGTTGCTCTGTTAACACGTAAAGTTTTGATGATATGATACTGAATGATAATATGATAAATTTTTGTAATTCTATTCTAAAATATTTCACAAATAAGAATATTTTTCCTCATTTTAATATGTCCGAATCGTCGATTTATTTGACGAAACTTCGGGTGCGAGAAAAGAAAGACTTTCTATTGACGCTATATAAGCTCGATCACCACTTGGACCACTGGGTTGGTGATGTAGAAGTCTCCCAATCCTGTGTGAGATGGGACCCTTGATCCAGAATTTATCAAATTCGACAAATGGAAAAGTTTTTTATGTAACTGTTTGATAAAATGCGTGTGCAAAATTCGAAATTGACAGAAGGAACAGATAAAATTACG